TCGGTGCAAATCGCTCCTGCTCACAGGAAAGGCTGCAGCTCTTGGAGATCTCGCCAGGGTGAACTCAAGTGTGCCCAAACTCAACAGCTGATGGGGAGGGGGCTGGCTTTATGGTCAGGAACCCCAGCAAATTCAGGCAGGGATTCCCAAAAGGCAGGAAGGAGAACAAGAAGAGGAGAGTTATACCAGCTCCCACCCTTGGCATGGGTGGGCTCAGGTCTCACAGGAAAGGCTGCAGCTCTTGGAGATCTCGCCAGGGTGAACTCAAGTGTGCCCAAACTCAACAGCTGATGGGGAGGGGGCTGGCTTTATGGTCAGGAACCCCAGCAAATTCAGGCAGGGATTCCCAAAAGGCAGGAAGGAGAACAAGAAGAGGAGAGTTATACCAGCTCCCACCCTTGGCATGGGTGGGCTCAGGTCTCCTAGGGGGTCACTCCCACTGTGCCACAGAGCACAGGGTGTACCTACTCTGCAGCAGCACCTCCCATCTTGCCCTGACCTGGGAAGGGGAGCCACAGGCCACCCCTGCCCTCAACAGGGAGCCTGGTGCTGTAGTGGGCTCAACACCATCGGCAGAGGTGCGCAGCAGCCGCACTCACAGCTGGTTCAGCATCCTCTGCATTTCCTCATTGATACTCATGGCCGTGGTCTCGTCCTCCTCTTCCTCTTCAGGTTTTCGGGAGGCATCGCTCTCTGACAGCGAGGTGTCTTCATCACTGACCTGCTTGCGCTCCCGCTTCCGCCCCACCGAGGCTGGGACCTTAACGGGAGACAAGTGCAGAGACTACAGAAACGAGGCCGGGTCCGAGGTCAGGAGCAGGTAGTTGGGAGGAGATGGAGGGGGAAGGAATGGTGGGGGGACAGGCAGGGAAAGAGAGAAATACAGAAAGAAAGAAAGAAAGGAAGGAAGGAAGAAAAAAAAGAGAGAGAGAGAGAGAGAGATGGGCTCATTATGATCAGATCAAAGATGGATGCAATGGAAAAAACATGGTTTTAGCATTTTCTAAAATTAAAACTAAGCAACTAAAGATGAAATCTGTGAATCTCATGAGAAAAAACAACGTGGGTTTACTGCAGAAAAACTCAAATCACCCACCCCCCCAGTCCAGAGACAGAGAAACACAGTGGCAGAAACAGGAAAAAAGTCTGAAAAAGGTGAAATATGTCAATATTTACAGTCCAACCTTATATAAAGTTTAAAATTTGTAAAATTTCCCAACTGAATGAAACTAACCAGTTGCTTCTGCAGGGACAAAGAGTGAGACAGAAAGGCAGCAACATCAAGAAAGAGAAAAGAGACAGAGACAGAGAAGAGAGACAGAGAGAAGATGACGGAGAGGGGAAGGGGAAGGAGAGAGATGGAATTAGAGACAGATGCTCAAGCAACTCGTCTCCCTCCTGCAGCTGTTCCCCTATCACTGTGAGGTCCCCGGGCCCAACACAACAGGTCAGCAAGAGACTGAGGGGACTCTCAATGCCCAAAGCAACACCTGGAGCTTTCCACCTCCTCTTTGTGCCCTTTCACCTGGTCCTCCCGACAGAGACAGAAAGCAAGGGACCGCAAGGAGCAAGGGTGAGGGTGACCAAGTGTCTCCCCTAACAGGGGGCTGGTGTTGTCTCTTTTACTTCTTTGTGAACTCTCCTCCCCAGAGCCAGTGGCTGAGCATGGAGCAGCAGCAGACGTTTCTCACCTGAAACATCTTGATCATGTCCTCGCAGTTCCGTTGCTGTGCCACGTCGCACAGTTTGGCAGTTATGTCAATGCGCCGGCAGATGTCCATGTCCACCTTCATGGCCTTCTCCTGGATCTTGGTGTCCAGCTCCGTGATGTTCTGAACTCATGGCACCACATGAAGGGGACAACAGAGGAATATTAGGCCAGGCAAACAGCAATCAGTGCCCCCATGTTCTCCCTCATGCAGGACTGCATCTGCATGCTCGCTTTGCTCGCTGCACCCCAGACCAACTCTGCCAGGTCACCTCTGTGCTGGACATGCCCCACCAAGGAACTACTTTTCTACAAGGCCCCACCACCCAGGTAGGACGCTGCTGTGGAGTCTGCAGGGGTTAGGGACTCACATTGCTCATCAATCCCTTGAAGACAACAAGCTCTGCCTTGAGCTGCTCCACCTTCATGGCCAGCTCCTCCTGGCAAGCTTCAGCCTCCTGGGCTTCCTGCCGCAGGCAGAGAGAGACAAGCAAATCAGCATCAGCATGGGGCAGCTGAGGTGTGGGGAAAAGGGGAACACACTGATGCTCACCTCCTGCAACTCGGTCACCCGGTCCTGAAGCTGGACACGCACTGTGTACTCCTCTTCCCATCTAGGGAGACAAACGCACTGCTCAGATCCCATCCGCCTCACCTCGCTGGCTGCCAGAGAGAGAGGACAGAGAGGCAGCTGCTCACCAAAGCTATCTGAGAGAGGGGAGTGACGGCACTGGGGCGGGAAGGAGAACATGCCTAGGAATGCACAGCCTCTTGTTTTCAGGCAATGGCAGCTGCCAAGCCCATCAGCCCCGCCAGGCACGAACCCTGCCCCACCAGAGTTGCCTGCTCTGCAATGGGGGGAGCTGGGGACACCGACCGCAGGCTCTGCACGGCAGCTGCGCTGCACACCCTGTGTCACGCCCCATGGCCAGACACAGTCTGCTGGCCTCTCCATCCGCTCCCAAGCCCTTCAGCCTTGGGTCACGTTAGGTTCAGCTCCAACAGTTAAGAGCAGGTTTGCAGACCTTGCAGAGTTGCCCCCATCACCATAATCTTTGTGACCACATTTGTGTGTTGGCAGTGTTACAGTTCAGGCTGTCCAGAAGCACGAAACCCAATCTTGACACCAAACTACCTCACTGTCAGGGACCACGATGTGCATCAACATGAAGGGCTGCTCTTCTGCCTGTACCAAGGCATAGGGCTGCCATGTGCTGGGTCACACTGCCCAGTCAGGGGAACAAGCTTTCTTGGCTCTATGGCCACATAATAGGTTGGATTCAAGAACATTGTTTCAACCTACAAGGAAGCAGGACAGACTGTCCCAGTTCATGCCAGGCTGGCCAGCGGGTACTGTGTCAGGCTCTGCAGCTTTGCAAAAAGGTCAGCTGCAAGGTGCCTGGCCTTGCTATGCAAAGGCACATCTCCTACCAATTATTATATTATATTTCACTGCATGAGAATGTCCTCTTGGGTCACACTGCAGTGTTGGCCCAGACCACAGTCTGTTGGGAGGCCATCAAGCTGGACTCCTCTTTGCTAAATGACTATTCCACAGAGTAGGGGGGTTGGCAGGCACTGCGGTGCTGCATGGGGCAAGGCTGCTGCATTCTTACTCGGCTCCTGGCTCTTCTGGGAGAGACAGATATTTTTTTCTGAGAAAGCAAGATTACTCTGGGAAAGCAACCAGAGCTGGGCCCTGTCTGGTGCTGTGATCTCTGGTTTCTATTTAATGCTTGCAAGCATCGACACAGACACTGTGACTCTGCACAAGGATGTGAAAAATCTCTCCTCTCACACCAAGTTTGAACAATAAATCCTAAGGTCTAGGAGACCAGAAAGCATATGAAAAGCCCTCACACTTATTATCTTGGAGTATCTGGACAATCTGATGATGTTGAAGAGCCCTGGATTATGAATTTCTAAGCTCTTAAAGCTAGCAATGTTGCTCCTTACTCAAACAACAACAAAACATGCATTCCTCGTGTTGGTATTGGATCCATACCGCAGCTCCAGAAAGGGAGTCAAAGGGAGTTCTCATTCCTTTGGGGAAAGAGAGAGATGAAGGGAAAGGGAATGAGAAAGTTAAAAGGTAAAATTGCCCTTATATGGCAACTGCTCAAACTAGGCCTCCCTCCCCAGGGACAAAACCGTCTTCAACCACAAGAAAAAATTTTCAGCATCTTTCTCGGTGTGCACTTCCTCTTTTTCAGTCCCCGCCTCCCTCCAGGTCTCTATATAGCCTGGACTCACTGGGGAAGTAAAGCACAGCTGCAAATCCTGGCAAGAGCTTCATTTCAATGCTGTGGAAGATGAGTGCAGGTCAGATAAACACTGATTTAAAGGCAGAAGGAAACAGCGATTCACCCCACAAGTGACGAATCTGCGCACCCATTCGTTACAAACCTCTCTCCTGCTCATCTCCTGTGTGGCTCCTTCTTCCCTGCTCCCTCCTGCAATGCACCACTCCTAATAATAACCTGCCTGCAGCACAGCACCCGCACCCCAGTGTGGCCGACGGCCGCTGCCAGGTCACTGCCAGCTGGAAGCAAGGCTGCCCCACACATCCCTACGGCCACCAGCGCATGCCAAGGGGGGACGTGGGTCCCTCTTAAGCCCCTGCAAAGCAACAACCTGCCCGAAGGCTGAAAGAAAACACAGGGCAGAGAGCAAGGGCAGGAGGGTCCCAGCAGCAGGTGGACCCAATCATCTCTTTGCCAGCTACAGGACAGCCCTGCCAAAGCTGTGGATGTGAAAAGATGCAGGGCTGACCCTACAGCATCCCACCTCCCTGCCATGTATGTCCCCTCAACAAGTTCACTTAGCAAAATAAACAACTCCCTCATCTTTAGAAGTCGTGTTCACCGCAAGAGGCACTGGGATGCCTCATCCTGTGCTGCAGTGACAGCACACACAGGTGCTTTGGGGCACGCTTCAGACTGCTCAGGGCTTGAAGCTGCATGTATCCCCCTGTTGCCATGTCTGAACTATGAGCTTCACCTTAATGCTGAAGGCCCTGCAGTCTGGCCCACAACCTTGGAGGGCAATTACAGCAAAAAAAATACCTTCTTGAGGCCTTATAATAAACAAGGGGGCTTATAAAAGCAGTTGAGAGAGACTTTTTACTTGGGCTTGCAGTGATAGGACAACAGTTTTAAACTGAAATAAGGTAGGTTTAGATTGGACATACGGAAGAATATTTTTATGATGGTGGCAAGACACTGGAACAGGCTGTCCAGAGCAGTTGTGGATGCCCCATCCCTGGAAGTGTTCAAGGTCAGGGCTTTGAGGAACCTGATCTAGTGAAATCCCATAGCAAGGAGGTTGGACTAGGTGATCCTTAAAGGTCCTTTCCAACCCAAACCATTTTGTGACTAACACACCATATCATAACACTACTCACCCTGCATCTCCAGCATGTCCTTGAAACATCCATGATAAAAACTACTTGTGTGAATACTGGTGTAGCAGACAGCACAAATGCAATGAGACTCCCATATCCTCAGCACTTAGCAGGTCTGTACAATATTCATAGGCATCTTGTGCCTTTCTCCAGGACACCTAACATCAGCCTGCTCCTCCCAAGTGCCTCTCTCCTGCATCTGCATCTGTTCTCATCCCTCCATATAACCCCCACACCCCTCCCAGATCCCTGACTGGAATTTCAGGCCCCGTGTGTATCCAGAGAGAAGCTCCTGCTGCACTGCCCCAAGTGTGTGGGGTGTACGGCAGCAACACTGCCCTGAAGAAAGTGCTAATTCAGGCACCCAAGTCATGGGTCAGAGAAATGGGAAGTCCTGTGGGGACTTCATACGGTCTTTTCCATCTGCCCTCAGGCAGGTGGCAAAGGCATGACACCAGCTGCATTGTCCCCACAGCAGATCTCAGCTTGCCATGGCAGGGAAGTCTCAGCTCCCAGGGGATGTTGGTGTCAGCCCTCAGCATGGAAAAGGGTATGGAAATGGGATCCTCCTGTTCCATTCCCCTGTTTGGGACCTGGCTGCACCCGTCAGAAAGTTCCCTATGCTGGATAGGGTCTGGGGGTGGGGTCTGCTTTCCCCCAGCTCCTGGTAACACACTCCAAAAATAGATCCCACCAATAACATTGGCTCATAGCAGCTTGTGGTGCCCCC